TATGATAGCCCTGCACATTTCTTTCTTCACCTGTTTGCTTTGACTGGCGATCACAGAAGAATAGCGAAAATGCTACCCTGGGTGCCAAACTCGTTTCGGGCCGCTAGCAATTCCCTTCGGCAGCCAAGAGCACTTCGCCCGCCTGTCTAAAATTACCGCTACGGGGGAGTCTAGCCCGGAGGGGGGGAGGTTTGGCTGGCCCTTTACAACAAGTTCTATAGGGCCGGACAAACTCCCCTCGGGCTCAACTCCCCCGAGCGGTAATTTAGATAGGCGGGCGAAGGGCTCTTGGCTGCCGAAGGAAAACGGCTAACGGCCCGATACTAGTTTGGCACCCAGGTACGAAAATGCGGAACGTCCCCGTTTAGTGACCAGTGTAGCGCTTGAGGTCAAAAGTTGCAAGAAGTGGCTTCAGGTTTCGTCTGGGAGTATACCGACAACAGCCGGGGAAACAGAGCGACTAAAGGGTTGCCTTGGAGTAAATGGACAAGAAACCAGACCTTACGTTATGTCATTGTTGTTCAGAGAACCATGTAGGGATGCGGTATGGGAAAAACAACAGAAAGCACCAGAAGACTTTTATCTGATCTCGGCCATTTTAGAAAGAGGCGCGCGCCAGCAGGAGGTTGGGGTAAAACACCGCATTTTTCATCACATTTGGTAAGTATTTTTGTCGAAATGTGACTTAAAACGTGTTAAAATGTCTTAAGTTTTTCCCAGCGAATATGCTAACAGCGTACGTGATAGATTGCGTGTAAAATCTGAGAAGGTCCGTTGACGATTTCGACAGGTGACGCAAGCTAGCTAGAGCTCAGTTTTCCGCTTGTTTACGGCATGTGTGTGATGGTAGGCTTTATTTGGGCTCAGGTCTTGGACCAGTCCTGTTTATTTGAATAAACAGGGTGTTCGATACATGTGGAACGGCATGGAAATATAGCTAATTCGCTATAGGAACCCTAGCCTTCACCAGGCCTTTCTACGGGAATACGGATAGTAGAATTCGGTAAAAAAGGAGAGTAAAATTGGCCAGGGGAGTCCGGCCGCGGGGAGGTAGTTTCTTTCCCTGCGTGGCCAGTCAAACCTATACCTACAAGGCGGCCAAACTCCCCTGGCAAACATTCTCCTATATATAGCCAGCGTAGTTAGTCTGGTAGAGACTATAGGAACCCCACCAGCACAGCTGAAAATTGGAAAATCAGCCGACCGAGACTTTGTTTGCCATCTTTCTCGTCTTATGCCCTCCTCTCCCCTTCTTTA